GAGGAACCAAGATTTGCTTGTTTTGTGGGAAGGGGGTCGTTCCAAAAAGTTACCACTCGCTGTTTTCAGTTCACGTGACCTCCCTTCACGCACAGATCCGGCAGATTTTGCGCGTGACACCTGACAAAAAAGTCTGGACTAGGAAAGGGCTGACAAGCGCCATCTGCCGCGAGTGCTTTGCAAAACCTATCCGGCTGGCCAAGATCGACTTCGAGTTGAATACAAGGCAGAAGCAGCTAACAGAGGAAAAGGAAGCCTTGCTTACGCTTCTAAGACCAAAGCAGACGTGTCTTACTCCGGTCAAACCAGGTCTGAAAAGGTCGCTGGTTAAAACGCCAACTCCAAAAAAACTGGTAAAACGGCCTCTACTGAGGACGCCAGTTAAATGCGCACAAGCTGCTCCATCACGTCAACAAAACGACAAGGAGACACAACGTCATGGTCAAGTTGCCACAGTAAAGGTGAGACAGCTGCATAACTTCCCGCACTTAATCAATTTCTTCTGAAAATCTTAGAACTTTGGTCTAGTATGCTCAGACTGCTATTCATGCCTTACCAGCCGGGCACCAAAAGTTAAGACCTATGACAAAATTTCTAGAGCTAACTAACAGCTGTCTAATTTTTTTCCATATTCATTATAACAGTACATGCCCATGGCACAACTGCCAGTAGAAGGATGCATGCCACTACGTCGACAAAACGATAAGGAGACACAAGGCCATGGTCAAGTTGCCACAGTAAAGGTGAGACAGCTTCATAACTTCCTGTACTTAAATATTTAACAATTTCTTCTGAAAATCTTAGAACTTTGGTCAAGTATGCTCAGACTGCTACTAGTATTCCTGCCTTATTAGCCGGGCACCAAAAGTTAAGACCTATGACAAAATTTCTAGAGCTAACTAACAGCTGTCTAAATTTTTTTCATATTCATTATTACAGTACATGCCCATGGCACAACTGCCAGTAGAAGGATGCATGCCACTCAAAGTCAAACCAACAAACCATGACAAGTACACACAGTGTGGGTCATCCCAGCAGGACCCAGTTGGCACGGTAAAAGGTGAGACAACTATATGTGGCCCTATACGACTTTATGTACTGGACGCTGTTTACAACAGGCACATGTATGTCTTCTGAATTTGTTTAGGAAGTTTACTTACCATACCAATTTAAATGTCTCTACATAGTGATAGTTCTCAGTATTTGATTATACTGCTGTGGGAGTCCCTGGCCTGATACAGGGGTTGGCAGCGGTCGGTTAGTTTGATATACATCTATGATTTGTATTATCTTATCATCTGTATACATTATTTGAGACAATGTTCTGGCTTACATTTTGTAGCTACTAGTTACTTTGTCATTTGTCAGTCACTGCCAGAACTCTGCTAAGCTCCCAGGTTCTGTTTCTTGTTACAGGTGGTCATCATCTACCCATCTGGCAAAAGAACCAGGGTTGTAAAAGACAGTCATGATGCTAAGTATCTCAGAGCCCTTGTAGATGGTCTACCAGCAAAGAGATTGGCAGGCATTGTCTACAGAGATCCCAAGTTTAGGCCTTTACTGCACAGACAAGTATGCGACAAGTTGTCACAGGATTGTACAGCACTATGCAGTAACAAGAACTCATCAGTGCTAAGGAAGACAGACATTGATGGCCTTCTTGACATTGATTTTGACACCATCATCAAAGAATGGAAGGAGAGAACTCCCCTCCTCTATGACATTCTTCACGCAGCAGCATGCAACACCCATAAGAAGAGGAGTGCACCAGAGAAGTCAGAAGACAGAGACTACCCCTCCATTGGACTTGCCTGGGTGTGCCCTGCTGTACCACAGGTGTCCACAGATGTCCCGTCTCCAAATGGCAACAGGGACGGTGCTGGAAAAGGGAGTCACCACAGATGAGGTACAGTGCACTAAGAAATTAAATGTATTGGTACATAACGATAGTACTTTTCAACAGCATGATGACTGAGAGAACATGTTCACCATTGTTTTACAAATTATATGCTATATATATGTGTTATAATCTATATATTGATAAATAATAA